GTTCAGACTGCTCTGTTTTACACCTACGATGTTGCCGGCTCACGGGTAACTTGTTTAGATCTGGAGAGTTCTCAACCTCTCAAAGGAGTGGGTTCCATCCAAGCTCAACACGGGACCCCTGGTGTTGAGCTTGCTTTTTACTTTCACATTACCTCACTTTACAGCTGGCAGTAGTAGTAGTAGTCGTCGTCGTCGTCGTCGTAGTCGTAGTAGTAGTAGTAGTAGTAGTAGTCGTAGTAGTAGTAGTAGTAGTGGTAGTAAGAGTAGGAGTAGGAGAGAGGAGGGGGTGAACGAAAGGTAGCAGGCAATCACAAGTACCCCTGGTAGAAGTCCATGACGGCGTGAACCGGCGCAGGGGGGATTTGATCCAGGGGGGGGGCCCCCCTCCCCCGACGAACAGAATCAACTCTTACAGGACCAAACTCAATGCACAATCCCAACTCCTGATTGTAATACATTTTTGCTAAAGCAAGGAGAACTCAGGTAGCTCAAGATACCTTTCGTGAGTAGTAGTAGTAGTAGTAGTAGTAGTAGTCGTCGTAGTAGTCGTAGTAGTTGTAGTAGTAGTAGTAGTAGTTGTTGTTGTTGTTGTTGTAGGGATCGTTGCCAGACCCTAAGAAATTCTTACGTGATCGATTTGACGCTTTATTTCATCTGAATGTGTCCTGTCTTGAACAGGAATAGTAGAGAATCATTGAAGTAGGTGGTAGTGGTAGGGGTAGTGGTAGTGGTGGTGACAGTAGTGGTGGGGTACCCAGCTGACCTGCTAGTTGACCTGGTTGAGCCCAGTTGAACCCAGTGGACCCAGTTGACCCATAACAGCAGCAGCAGCAGCAGCAGCAGTAGTCGTAGTCGTCGTCGTAGTGGCGGTGGTGGTGGTGATAGTACTGGCGGTGGACCCAGTTGACCTGGTTGAACTCAGTTTACCCACTTGACCCCGTTGACCCAGTTGACCCAGTTGAACCAGTTTGAACCCAGTTGAACCCAGTAGTAGTGGTAGCTTGTCGGGGTCAACTGGGTCAACTGGGTCCGGAGATTTAGCGTGGCCCCCTATGCGGTCGCAATCCATATGGCATATGTTTCCTCATCTCTCCCCTTCGGTCAACGAAGCGTTCTCAACGGATTCAAAAGGTTAATCACCTAGTTATGGTGTCGGAACGCCGGCAAGAGTATCAACTGCCAAAGAATTTGGATCGAAATCAAATTGATCCAACAAAAGGATTGGAGGACTTTTCTGGATGTCTGTCAAAGTTGTCATCCCCATCGGATGGCCGTGGAAGCAGCTCGGTGCACCTTGAGGGTCTTTGATTCAAGGTCTTCAATGTCTCCTGGCAGCAGTGCAGTGACACCCAGAGGTATCAACCGCGTCAGTTTACACTGTTCTCAATGAGCCCCAAATGTTCTGGGGGGACAAGGAGAAGAAGACTAGGTTATTTAGTAGGTTAGTTAGTTAGTCAATGTTAGTTACATAGTTTGGCTCAGCCACACTCCATTGATCAAACAAATCCAGTCTTTGGAGCTGCAAGATCCCTCTGGTTCCCCGACCCACCTTCGGTTCTTGTTGGTTGTATCGAGACACTCTGTCATGAGCAGGCAGCAGCTGAAGACAACCGGTGTCTTCACAAACGCATCCCGACCGAAACAAAAAGCTGGGCACCTCAGCTAGAGAGGATTCCATGAACAGTGTACTTGGCCAGGCGGTTGCAAGAATTCAAATCAGTCGTCCAAAGACCCCCACACAATTCCCACAAGTTGAGCCTCATTGGCCACTATGCCACGCCTCTGACTATATTATACTATATGATGATCTGTGCCAGGGTCCTCCAGTGAGCAATCCATCGGGAAAACTGAGGAAACCAAGGGCTTCTGTATGGACAAGTCCCTCCAAAAAAACAGACCGGTCTCCGAACTGGCGCCCCTTGCCCCAGCGCCTCACTCCCATAGCGACGCCTCAATCACTCAGCTGCACGGGTCATGTGTCTACACTCGGGGGAATGACATGCTGTATTTCATCCGCAGAGTCTCCAAGAAATGGCTCGCACCCTTTGAGCACCCCAATGTAGTTTGAGTGACAAGCAACTGCCTCGATCAAGCTTCTTTCGATCGAGATCTCTTTGTGACAGAGTCGTACAATCCAGAAAAATGCATCCTAAACCACTGGCATACAGTTCCATCACTCACAGCCCTGACCAACTGAGCATGGTTCAAACATTCCACCAACCTTGCTCAGTCTGATAGTCACCAATTTTGCACGGTCCTTCTGGAATCACTCGGAACTTTAAAATCTAGTAAGAGTAACATGCCTGACACCAACCATTTAAAGACAAACGATGTGTAACAAAGAAAAGCACACGCTCCTGTAGCGACTCCCCTGAAATCCACGCCAGAGGATTGGGTCACTGGGTCCTCGCGCGAACTATTGAGGCCAGGCGATCGTCCTGTCAGCGCTGTCGATGCACAAGAGGAAACTTCTCAGAAAATCCCAAGCAATATACCCGATGGGCTCCTGCTCCCTATTCTGCTACAGCAGATTTATATACATGCATGGTGGACGTTTTTGAACACGGGGGTTCGCTACAAATGGAGTCGTACCCACGTGGCATCAAGCCCGAGGGACTTAAGGTCTTCTGGGCGACCAATGCTTGAGGCGCAAACACCTGACTCACTCAAGTTGAACACGCACCATTTTGACCGAAGATTTCGTTGGATTCAACAACCTTACCGGTAGTTCTCCCAAGACATCTGGCATCCAATTGCCACACCCTCAAGGCCTTGCTGGGATGAGGCGCTGCGTTCTCCCGTCCACCTGTCGAACAGGATTTTGTGGAATGACACTGCTTTGGATTGATTTCATCAATAAGCTTTTCATCTGTATACATATTATTTGGCTTAAGAGCCAAACATAACTGAATAGTGAGTCAAAGGACTTCTTTTGGCAGGAGCAAATCACTCCGAATGGATCATTTTCCGCCCTGTTTCGACTCCCTGCGGCGCATCGTTCGTTCACTCGTTCTAGGTCTCCACACGTCGGCGCAGCAGACTCCTGCCTGCGGTTTGGAGACGAGAGGGACAGCTCTGGGCGGCCAATGCTGGTTCTATAATTCCCTACCTTTGAGGCTCAACGCCCTTTTCAAGCACCTTCGGCAGCTCTTGGAGTGTGAATCCAAGACCCTGCATCACTGTCTTGACCGAAGGCTGACACGTTGGACATGTCCACCTTGAGAGGTACACGTTGAGACCAACGTCTGATTGCATCCAGCCGCTTGATCTGACTCACGTTGAAAACCGGAGAAGCTCGAGGTTTTCCTCGCAAAGCCAAAGGCTAAGGATCACTTCGATGAAAGGCATCTGTGACAATGGACAAGCTGGTAAGACGCTGCTGATAGACAGTCTTGAAGGAGATTTGGATGCCGTGCATCCACACCTGTCCGCTTTCTGAAGATTGGCTGAGCTGCGCGATTCTCTCAGGTCGTGCGGCAACATCTGGATCTGTGGATTGCCTGCAAAGTTTGAGCCATCTGAGACCAAAGTTAGTTCACTACCAGAAGTGCAACACAATGCAGGTGTATCGCTACCTGCCTGCCATTGAATCACTACCTCACTACCTGCCTGGCAAGCACCATAAGCGAGAAGTAGAGGAAACAATGGCAGGGTGATGGCCATCAAATGTGGTAGCCAGCGTGCTTGCTCCTCAGGGAGGAGTAGCTGATGTTGCCTGGGCACATGGTTGAATATTGGCCCAAGAAAAGCTCAAATTGCGACAACAAGTTTACATATTCCGCCTGGATCACTATGTGCCTTTCCTAGAAATGTGCGGCCAAATCGAAACAATTCATCTCTTCCACGTGGTTCCTTCAGCAAACCTTCCGGAAACACCAAAACACCAACGGCTGATACGGCCCTTTCCATGCATTCCATGTAGGTATTCATCTCCCCACAAAAGCCAACACGTGAGCGTGTTCAGTCGCAACGATCAATGCAAAAGGGTCGTCGGAAAAAGACTGCGTACGAAACTACAATCCAATAAACATGTCTGCCGCCCACCAAGACACAGCAAGATAGCGAGCCAGAAGGGCCTAGAAAGATCAGTCGCTATGTGGGGTTCCCAAGCATTCTTGGTAAGGCCAAAGTAGCGGGACATCAAATCAAACCACCTGATTTTGATTGGTCAAGACATAAACCAGTTACCATCCCGTCTAGTACAGCACGGTGCAAATTACAAAGGCAAAGTGTTGCATTCATTCAAAGTTGTTTCCATTGCCACTCAAAATTACATTTGATAGGGTGTCTGTCCGATGTCCCATGTCACCAAAAACTCAGAGAGGGGCCAATTTCTCTGCAACCCCAAGGCTGTCCACGGATTCATTTCTAAATCCTAACATTTGCGTACATACATACATACATACCTACCTACCTACCTACCTACGTACATACATACATACACACATACATACATACACACACACACATACATACATGACATTACATTACATTATATTACATTAAAATACATTACATTACATTACATCATACATCATACAAACATACAAACATACATACATACATACATACATATATACATACATACATACATACATACATACATACATACATACATACATA